TTAAAGATTAATATACAGATTTACCATAATAAAAACTATTCAAAATAAGCTTGCCTTGAATGTGTTTCTGAATATATAATAATTTAATATACTTGCAAAAAATGAAGTAAAATTATACTGCTTTGACATTCTTTAAAGTTTATTAAAGTGCTACTTCATACTTTAACTGAAAGAGAGCTTTGAGAAAAGTTATTTGAATAATTAACAGAATCAATATAAATCAAATCTTCATTGGAAAATAATGATCTAGTATATCATCATAAACTACTTTAAAAAACTTGACAAGTCTTAAATAAAAATGATCTAATTAATATTGTTGAAATTCTGAGTTCAGAAAATAGATTAGCTCAGATTCATTTGATGATAGAAAAGAATTTCAATCCAAAGATTAAGCTATTAATTCAATCATTAGTTCTTAAATGCAGCAACACTAAGATTTAATATACTCTACTTTTTCATAAATTACAACATCAACCATAAAGCCCCTCACTGGAAATTATAAGGTTAATAAAAATAAAATAGATGTTGAATCATAAATTTAATAATCCTTCTCCTCTTAATCATAAATTGTCACCCTGTAGTTATAAATTAATAAGTTCATTTTACCTTAAACTTTCAAGCCATTTAGTTTTGAATTAATCTCCTAAATTTTAAGCATTTGTATTTAATAATGACTCATCAATTTTAGGTACTGGATAAAGTGGTGGATCAATAAAGGGCTTCAAATTCAAGGAAAGAGCATTCAAGTAATATTTAATGTGTATATTTTATGTAAAAGGCTTTCTCTTTTTTTATATGTTGGTGATGATAAATATATAATAATCTGGAGTGTGAATAAATCATAAATGAGAAGGTCTACTAATAGAATTTAGTGTTTAATTATGAACAATTAAGAATATTTTATCATATCTGGTAGTAGCGATAATACTATTAAATTTTAGGTTTAAGAATTAATAATGGAAATGCAATTAGACATTATCCAATAATACCTGTAGTATTAGATGTTTATCATCGAACATATCATAAAATTAGTTAATATCAGGTGGTAAGTGGTGAGGATAAACTATCATTAATAATCTCATTAGACAATAATAAAAGATGGAAAACAATCTAAAAGATATCAGTTTAAAAGTATGGATTTAGTTTATGATTAAATGCTCTCATTTAAACCTGAAACTTTCAATATGGTGCATATCTATGATATAAGAAAATAAATTCTACTTAATAAGAATGGAAAAAATGTAAATTTAATTAGACTTCATTGAAATGATTAATTCAAAAACAGAATAACATATTGAGAGGAAAGTGATTGCTTCTGACTATTGGTACAATATCAAACGATGGAAATTATTTAGTCACTTATGAGAGTTAAAGTAAGAGATAAAAGTAAGAAATTATAGAGGAAATTGATTTTTATAAATCCAAATTTTTTAAATTCTATTATTTTAATTATTCTGAATATATTTGATAGGTTGTTTGAGGTTATATATCTATTAAGTTTTTTAAACAGTTTTATTAATTTTTACTACGTTGATCTTCTTTTATTTAATTAAATGCTTGAATGTTCTTTTAAATCATTTCATCTACACTGTATAAATAAAATCAACCAACTTATATCTAAATTTAATTCATTTTATATCTTTATTCAATATAGCTTTATTTATTATAGTTACTTTTTTAAAAATTTATATTTAATAGATTGAACATATTCTAATTCAAAATGAATTGCAGCCATAATTTACAATCAATCAAAAATTATTGCGCAATTCTATTGTTTTAAATAAAAATTAGTAAATACTCTAAGTTGCTTATGATAAAAATTTAAAAATTTATTAATTCAATAAAGGATTATTAAGATTTATATAAATACTAACAAAACATCCTATTTCCATAGAAAAAGTAGGCACTTATACTTAATACTGGAATTTGAAGAAGTATTCAAATAAATATAAACGAAAGATGTACTTTGATATAAAAGGAAAGAGAGTTTTCCATGCCTACTGACCCTGGAAATTTTCTTAATTTTTGCCTGGATTTTGACGTCACCATTGTATATCATCAATTGCATCCTTGTTACTTTCTCTCTGCCTTCTACTTGAGTTTCTTCAAGTCCGCATTACATTACAAGTTCGACTTATCATCTCCTGATCTTCAATTCTTTCCTTTGAGTTTTTACTAAATATTTTTTTATCTTCACGTAGATATAGAAACCATTGCTCTACTTGCAATTATTAGAGAAATCAGTAAATTGAAATTTTGTATAATTTATTGAAAATCCAGTATAAAAATAACCAAAATGTATTCACCTACAAGATCGCAGTAGTCATAATTTTAATATAAGTTTCTAAGTATTTTTATTCATACTTTAAATTAGGGAAATATTGCACCTAGATATGAGAAGTTATCAAGTTTTCAATTTGTGGAAATAAAAAGAATAGTTATTAACTTATTATTTTTAATTTGCATTTTAACAAGAGAAAATTTCATAAAGTTATGATGATATTTCAATTCTTATTTAATAACACTACTATAAACTCTTTTAATATAAGTACATTTAGAAAGCTATTTTTAATAAAAATTAACTATTTAATTTAACAGCATTAACATTTGTGAATACACGCGAGATTCTATGCATTTAACAATTGCTTTATGAAGGGATCATATATAAATCAAACTTGCATATGTCTTACTTTTGATTGAACTATATTTTCTATATTTAAAGGAAGTGCTTTCAAAGATTTTTGTGTCGGACCAATTTTAAGTATAAAACTGCTTTTAGAGACCAGTTTGATGACTCTAAAATGCTGCAACATATCAAGTGAAATGAACAAAGTATTAATATCGCGGAATAGTAATTTTGAGTATTTCAATTTTAAACTTTGTTTACTTTTGCTTAATGTTGTTGTTATAGTTACCCCTCTAATTTAAATTTACATTAAAATAGAGTAAATTCCTATAAACTCTTTTCCATATTTTAAACAATATAATGTTTACCATAAACCATCTTTAGTTTTATTTTTATATTTTCCAAAATAAATAACTTAAACTCTTTCAATATTGTATTAATTTAATATCCCTGAGTATTTTAATAAAGTTCTATACAATTACTAGAAGAAATATTCATAAAATCTTTTGAAAGTTTTGTCTCACTCAAAAATTTTCAATCTATATGAGAAATTTCTAAAATTTCCTCCTTTAATAATGTGAAACATTATTCATCAACTTCATGTCTACCATTATTGGATTTTTACTTTTATTATTCTGAATCCTTTATGTTAGGTGCTAATTCTTTAAATTTATTTTGAGTGATCCAATCGAAATACAACTTTGAATTTTCTTTAATTTTTGTGTTCATAAAATAAATGATAAAATATGTTTATTAACATATTATTTTATTTATTAGATCTGGCTTATAACAAACGTAATAATTCTGAGTGCATAATTTTAGTTTAATTCATAGGTTTTAAATAAGTTTAAGAAATAACTAATAAATTCAAAATACTCATTCTTTAAAAGCAAGGTTTAAATTGATAATTATAGTTATTATTGTTTCGAAAATGAACTTTCATTACAAAATAACAACTGGCAATTATTTATTAGTGCGTTTTTTGTCTCAATTCCATCTATAGGCATTTATTTAAATATTTCTTCTTATATTTGCTAATATTATTGGAAAATAATATATAAATTTCATAAATTTGGTGTACATAATTATTAGTGAGAGAATAGAAACACCATATATAAAATGATATTATAAAATTGAACTGCCCAAGTAGGTATAATTGGTCTTAATACTAATATAATGTAGATAATACAGTTATTGTCATTTTTTAATACTTCCCTTTATGAAGATTAAGAAATAAGTTACTCCATAATAATAGAACTTGCACTAGAATTGTAAATGCAACTCTTCATTGTCATTCAAACTATTGTCTTGGTAGTGCTATAATTAAGCTAATAACTTGAACAAATTAATAATTAAACATTTGAGAGAGAGATTAAGAAGCAACATATATGTGTCTGTTACATTTCTATATTTTTCAATTTTTTCTACTTTAAATTTATAAACAACAAAATAAAACTTTATTCTACTTCTGTATAAATTATTCTCCATTGAAAATGCATAATATATTTTTGAATATCTAACTTAATATTTTTAGATTTATCTAATAAATCTACTACTTAACCAGTAATTAAAATTTTTAAACTCATTTTTGTTGTAAAAATGAATTTCTTCTTTATTATTTATTTTAAAAGAATGAAGCGATATAGTTGGGCTAAAGACGATAACATTAAGTTATGGATGTTATAAAATAATTATGAAAACCTATGGCGAGGGGAAAACTTTTAATAAAATAGAGGAGTTGATGAATGAGCTATTGAGAGTATGACTGTCCAGCCTTTAGATTCAGATTTCAATTATGAACAGCACCTTCAATTAGATTAGATAAAAATCATAATCACAATAATCAATCAACAAAGATATCTTATTTGAATGGATTCTGGGCATTATTAAACTAGATAAAAATATTTAAATATTAGTTTAAATTGGAAAGGATTTTATGATTGGCCTCTTAAAATATAATTGTGCTGGCCTTTGAAAATACTAATGAAATCTTTTTAGTAGAGCAACTAAAAATACTAGATGGAGAGATAGCTCTTAAACAACAGATGGAACATATTGGTCAGGATATTGTAACTACACTTTAGATTATAATTAAGGATAGGAAAACAATAGTCAATTTTTGAAGAGAGACTTTTTTTTTCTGGAAATTTACTCTGATTTAATATTTTTGCTAATTACTAATAATAATAAAAAGAGCTTGAGGATTTAGATTTTACTCTTTTCCTGCTGAAACTTCCCAAGAATCTTTCTAATCAACTGTATAATTATGCCATTGTAGGATGGACTCAAAGGTAATAAATCTCAAATATATACTCCAATGTCATGATCACCGCTACTACACTCAGTTTCTCTATTTTTAATCAGACACTATTAACATAAATAAA